TTCAGCAATATTTTTATTATTAAATTTAATCAAATTTGGCAATAATTTAGCTGCCGAATGACATAATTTCGACTAGTATTATGCTAATTAATTACTTTTAATGAGAATTTATATTATCCAAAATTTAATATTAAATTGAAATAGATAAAATTCTTTAGAAAACTGTGAAAGTAGAAGTTCTAAAAGAACTAAAACAATCAAAATAAAAGAAAATAAGACTTTTTATTATAGAAAACCTTTATAAACCTTTTATTTCAAAAGTTAAAAAGATTTTCAAATACTTTATAATCAATTCTTCTTCTTTTGAAAACTTTTTTTATTAGTGATATTAAAGATGTTACTTAACTTTTCTTGATTATTAGCAGTCAAGTTTTTGAGTGAGAAGGTTTATAAACAAAAAAAAAAAGTAAAGATAACTTTTGAGATTATACTTCTTTTTTTTTTTTAAACCGTAACTGGTATTAGATATGAGCTTTATTAAGAATTAATTTAACATTTATGAATAACTAAATCCATAGCGTGACATTAATTATCACATACAAACTATATATTTCTATATACATACAGATTAATAATAACCTATCGTGGTTTGTCCTAGTTAAATCAGCTATCACTCTTTAAGTGGGAAGATCTAACTAGGGGCCAAATGATTAATATATAATTATCAATGGCGTAGCTAGACTAGTTAGTATTGAACTTGTTAATTTTATTATTTTTTCACTAAGCTAATCCTTTTCGTGTATACCTGATGGGATATTTTATACCTTCTAATATTTCCAGATATTATTTACTCAGACCTCGGAAGGGGGCACGTTACCTTCTTTATTACCACCTGTGGCATCAGATCAGTCCTTATTAATTGATTTTCAATTAAGCAGAGTATCAGATTGGGATATTCTGAGCTAAGAGAGTGGGGGTCCTGGAGATTGCCAGGGTAAGGGGTCTTGGGGGTGTCTGTGATAGGCTAGACCAGAAGCCTTTCTTCATGCAATCCTTCTAGTAATACGACTATAAATTTCAGCCCCTAATCGATGAAAGGCTAGAAGTCTCATCTTCCTGCAGCCTAACCTGATTGGATCTTGTTCCAAATGATTGGGTACGACTTTTACAGGATAGCCGGTAAAACCTGATTAGAAGGTAATTTTTGATTTTGGTCCTTAAGTGGTATTGAACTATAGACCTTGTGATTGTGACCTGGAAGCACTACCACTGTACTATTGACCCACAGGTCATACTTCAAGTTATTTTAAAAAAAGTATTATTAGTAAAAAAATATAAAAACTTCTTATAAAATCTTTTTATATATAGTCAAAGAATTAGCAAAAAAAGTTTTATTATTATTTTTTTTTTTTTAACCCTCTATCAGGTTAGTTATATATACTTTATTAAACAGAGTTATTTTTTATCATTAATTAATAAAATATAAATAATATACAGTATATATTTATATTTTTTAATCTGCAATCAAATTAATATGCTTGTCTTTATTATATAAATATATAATATCTTACTAGTTAAAAAAAAATTATTTGGCATATTGTTACTTATGTAATATTTGATAAAAAAATGATATAAATAAATCTACAACTATAAAATTCAGCTATAAATATTATAAAAATATGGTATATTAACAATTTATCAAAAAATTTATTAATAATTTATCAAATAATTCATTAATTATTTAACAAAAATTCATTAAAAGTTTATTACAAAATTATTTATTAGCAATTCAATAAAAATTTATTATTAATTTATTAATAATTTATCAAAAATTTGTCAAAAATTTGTAATTATTTATTAAAAATTTGGTAACTATTTATCAAAACTATTAATTAAAAATTTATTAACTAGTTATTAAAAATTTATCAACTATTCATTAAATTATTTATTAAAAATTTATTAAAAATTCAACAACTATTTATTAACAATAAAGTAAAAAATTTTATAAACTTATGCATGAATTTTTTTGAATTAAGATTATATTTATAAATTATGAATAATAAAAACTATAATATAATAATTTAATTAATTATATATTATTATATAAATAATATCAAAAGAAAAACTCTTTTCACTGATCCTTTGACTATACACAAAAAAGATGTTTGCAAGAAGTTTCCATACTTCTTTACTAATAAAGTCTTAATACTTTCATTAAAACAACTTGAAATATAACTTCAAGAGTCATTTTTACCTTTTCTCTTTTTTACAAATCTTTTTATTCAAAAACATGACTTCAAGTGACCAAGAAAAGTCAAGTAACACCTTTGATATCAATGGCAAAAAAGTTCCCAAAGGAAGAAGAACTGATTGTGAAGTACTTCAAGACCTATTTAACCTTTAAAGCGAGAGATATATAGAGAATTTTGATGACAAAAGAGCTTATTTTTTCCCTTTCAGTCACTTGTGGATCTTTTAGAGCTATTGCTTTCATAGTTTTCTGAGAAATTTTGTTTACATTAGTTTGATTCTGAATTTTTAATAGTACAAATCCTCACTAAAGATAATTGGTTGACACAAAACACATTAGTTTTTGGAATGTAAACAAGATTCTATTGATCACATTCATGTGTTCTAATGATATCATTGGTTATTGAAAAAAAGGTTCTGAAAACGGTTGCCCTTAAAAAAAGCTCAAGTCCCTCAATAAAAACTTCTATAATACCAAAGAACCAAGTGATGGGTAATGTGGATTACAAACTCCTAACTCTTATCTAAGTTTTTCAAGTAGTGACAAAGCTTTAATGGAAAAAAGCTGAGGTCTAAATGCTTTTCTTGAAATATTCTAATCTGATACTCACTTAAATAAAAGATCAGTTGGATTGACTCATCTAATACCGCAGATGGTGAAAAAAAGATTTCTTCTGAGGTTCAAGTAAAGCAAGAAGACTATTCCAATCAGGTAGATTTCTTTTGAGAAGAGATTGTTTTTATTTTCAGATTTTTTTGGTAGATCTTGAATTGTCCCCTACCCCAATCATTTTTCTCTTTTCCCCTTTTTAACTTAGTAATTAATTGATTTTCAGGTAATCAATAGTGACAAACTGTTAATAATAATCCTAATAGATAGATGTTATTATCAATTTATTAAAGAAGTGAAATATTGTTTTCAAAATCTGACTTAGAGTACTTTTGTATAAAGATAAGTTAGTCACTTTGTGAAAGTCTGTAAAATATTATAAATTTATTTTAAATTTTCAATAAAAACATGCTATTGTGGTATAATTGTGGATTAAAAAAAAAAAAAAATTATTAAACAATAATTAAGATTTTAATTTTCTTCAAAAACAATAATAATTTAATTGATAAATTATTTTTGTATTTTTAACAATAAAATTATTTTTAAATAAGTATTAACCTTTCAACACTAATAATATCATGATTTATTTATATTATTAAATTATAATTTGTGCAATTTATTTATTATGGCGTGACTTTTAAATTAAGCAAATAAACAATGGATAGCGTTATACAGTAAAACTGCTACGTAATACATGACAAATTGATTTAGGATTTTCATATGTTTTTGTAACCAATACGCACACCAAATGAGAAACATTCTCCTATGAGTGTATTAGAACGGAGTTTAGCACTTTTTATTATTACTAACCAGGCGTTTTTCGTCCGGTCGAGAATTTGCTTCGTATTAAGAATTATTCAAAACCAAAGAAAAAAGGAATGTCTGATTACGGCGGTTACCCTCCTCCGGAGCAATATGGACACCCTACAGCGAGCATGCACCCTTACAGACCATCACAAAATACAAGCATATACGACTCATACCCGCCAAATACAGGCATATATTCACCACCACAAGACACAATTTATTCAACCTCAAACGCAAACCCCACCTCCTATCCAGATCCACCGGAACCTTCGACGTATCTTGACATAGATACAGAGAAAATTGTTCATTATGGTCAAGCTCCAGAATATCAACCTCGTCGTTACAAAACAAAGAAACGTGTAAAATTACATAACGGAAACTTTGTGACAGAATGTCCCGTGCCCACAAATTTATTGCAAAGGGTTTCTAGGAAAGATGATAGAGAATTTGCATATATGAGGTATACTGCTTGTACGTGTAAGCCTGATGATTTCGATAAAAACAATTATACCCTTCGTCAACAACATTTTGATCCACCAAGACAAACTGAGTTATTTATAGTGTTAACTATGTATGATGTGAGTATTTGTTGAATGCTTCAAGTGATAATCAGATATGCGAGATCACTTTAGTCAATAATTCAGTTACTGATCGTTTTAATTTGTGCATATAGGAAAGTGAAGTGGATTTTGCTCGTACATTTCATGGTGTCGTGAAAAAACATTTCTCATCTTTGTTCTCGCGATCGCTCTAAAGTCTGGGGTAAAGAAGGATGGAAGAAGGTTGTAGTTTGTATAGTATCAGATGGCCGTAAACATATTAAGCGACGTACATTAGCTTATTTAGCGGCTATCGGTGTTTATCAAGATGGTGTTGCAAAAAATCATATCGAGACCATAAATGAGGATGGCGAAAGGGTGGAGAAAGAGGTTACTGCTCATATATTTGAGTATACAACTCAAATTTCAATTAACGCGGAGATGAAATCGGAAACCGAAAACGTTGTTCCCATCCAAGTGCTTTTTTGTCTTAAAGAAAAAAATGCTAAAAAGATAAACTCACACCGTTGGTTCTTTAATGCCTTTGGAAAACTTCTTAATCCTAATGTGTGTGTTCTTCTCGATGTTGGTACAAAACCTGGTAGCACATCGATATACCATTTGTGGAAATCATTTGATCTCAACTCTAACGTTGGTGGTGCTTGTGGCGAAATTGTGGCAATGAAAGGTCGAGCCTGTGGCAACCTTTTCAATCCGATAGTAGCCGCTCAAAATTTTGAGTATAAAATGTCGAATATCTTGGATAAGCCCCTTGAGTCCGTTTTTGGATACATCACCGTGTTGCCTGGAGCCTTTTCCGCTTATCGTTATATTGCCTTGCAAAATAATAAGGACG